TTGTGCCTTGTCCTTGTGCCTGGTCCAAGTCTTAAGACCACGAGAACTCTTGAACCTCTAAAGCTTCTGAAATAAATTTAAAAACTAAATTCCTTACTGCATGTCACGAGTGAATTTCCCAAATAATTGAGTTAGGGTTTTAGGAGTTTTACTATCAAAATTTAAGTACAGATGGAGTAGTATATATAGTTTTCGCAGTCGCTCTTCATAGAGCGGTTTTATACCATACAGTTATTTTGTTATGTCAAAAGATTTTTACGTTTTGCACCATGTACAGCTTGAATAAGTTTCTAATAAAATAATTTGTGACAGAGGTGACCTATAATTTTTCTGATTGCAGATTCAGAATCAGCGCTGTCGATTTAGTTAGAAAAAGTTAAGACACCACAAAAAAGAGCGTTTCCCCCAAGAGCGTCATTGCGACCGCTCGAGGAAGCAGTCGCATGTGGGGCGACAGACCTCTCAGGGGCGGCACTTCCGATTTCAAGGGGGGATAGTTTTTTTAGATTAAAAAAATTCGCTGATTCCGAATCTGAAGTCGGTTTATTCAAAATCCCCCGGGCACTGGGGGCTGTGCTCTGAAAAAGTCCCTGAGTCTGTACGTATAGTCCGTTCCATTTATAATCTGTAGTACCGAAGAAATCAAATTTTTTAAAATGTTATCATTGTTATCACCCGGAAGTTTTCATAAAGTGATGTGTACCGGTACACGATGATACCAAACTTAGGTTTTTACATGCACGGGAGATTTCGCTTTCACGCGCTCTCATACACCGCAAATCTTAAAACGCATAAATTACAAAAACGTAAATTCTGAAATTCATTTTAGATTCAAAAAAGAACTGTGGTTAAGAACGACCCTGACCCTCGCATTCGTTTGCCTGCAAATTTTGGTGAAGAGCGGTTCCTAATGAGGCTTGGCACACCTAAATAATGAGGTACCGGTACCGGGTGCACGGAATCAAGAGTTCCCGTGAATTCATACGAACGTAGAGCCTTTTGCCGGCACAGTTTAACACTAACGGACAGTATATTACCATAAAGTTCGTCTACCAAATATGCTCATGCAGTGTTTGCCCCGGTTGCGTTCAAGACCCCTGACCAGACTAGCCAAAAGAACGGAAATTACGGGAACAATGTATTACTGTTTCCAGAAATTAAGGCCGTATGAGGACGGAACCAGTACCCATATGCGTGCCCGCTGGTCAGTGCTATAATAGAGTACTTGAGCTGTTAACGTTAAATGAGCTGAACCGCGCAAAGAGTCACACCTTTCACTGACCAAACCTACACAATAACAGGAACCGCACGTGACCGCCGGTGAAGTCTGCTGTTGAGTGAACATAAGTTACAGGATTCCTCTTGGCGCTAGTGGCTGGATATGAGCGGACGCTATAGTCCAAGGTCACGCCTCCATTTGATCGTTACTATACTGATCGGAACATGCTAAATTCGCTAGCGTTTACATTTTGTTACATTTTTGGCTTTCTTGACTAAAGCTAAAGCGGTAGTATCCCATATCCGAAGCGCACACACTTTGCGGAGCTATTTGTAGATTTACAGAGCAGGTAAAAATTACTTCTAATATTGTTCAGCACGCTCCAAAAGAGTCCACATCCACTTTTTTTCAAAAAGTATCTACCGTGAGACCAGTTTGGAAGCCCCGAAAACTTCTGATCAGAATAACCGGAAACCGAAAACCTTCAAAGTTTACATCAAGTTAAAATATATCTCACTGGATACTACACGCCATTCGCTACGGTCGCCCAACTAACACTGCAGGTGAACGGAGCGGCACCCATGCTGCATGCACAGCAACCAACAAGCAAAGTAAAAAATGAAGATTCCGTAAAATTGCTTCTGGCAATCGAGTGCTTAGAGCTCATCGGAACAACGCAATTGCTGAGTGTGCGAACCATTAACCCTGTCCACTGGTCAGAACAATCGATCGAAAGTTATTTATCCTTGCTAAATACCACTGACGGAAACTACGGAGTAATGTAGTGAACAACACAAACAAAAAAGGGCAAATGCAATTAGATTTTAGATGCTTCGATTCCGAATCGGATGAATGTTTTCGTAAATATTTATTCTGAAACGGCCGAATTTCAACAAGATTTAATCTAGAGGATCACCAATATTCCAGAGATCAATGATTTAGGATGTTGGTTACCGTTAACGGAAATGATGGGGTCTGTTTCTAAAAAGATCTGTTTCTGCTAATACCGCTAAATCTTTATACCTACATGGCTACATCCCAGTGAGCGGAACCCTTACCACTGCGCGCCGTTTGGCATTCTGTTCAGTGTTATTAAAATATTTCAATTTACCGGAATAATCAAAATGATAGCCTGTCCTGGATCAGAATGTTTTTGTGTCATTACAAAATTAAGTAACAGAGCAGTTAGCAATTTGGCGCCGATCTTGTCGGTCGATTATTAGTCGTGCTAATTATTAATAATTTTCTGCCTCGTGATTACTAAATGTAAAATCTTACAACAAAAACACAAAAATGAGAACTCTCAAACAAAAATAATAAATTCACTGTCGCGATTCTGTACCCGAGTTTTGAAAATAAAATCACTCCCATAAAATTTCGGCCAATATATCCAACGATATTTTTACCTCGTATATATGTATGTTAAATTTTGAATTACACTAAAATTACTTTCCGGGAAGTTGACCGTAGACCACAAGAGCATCTGAGGCGAAGCCGAGGATGACTTGTAAATATATAATACACATATTATATAGAGGATTCTACAATATACTGAAAATTTGCCTGTCGCTTTGATTGACTGCAGAGATGACCTTCAAGTTTTCTGCCTTAAATTTTGCGCCTTAACCCGTTTCCACACTATGCGTGTTAGACCGACATGATGGAGGACTTCTTCTCTATAGTCCGTTGTTATGGTCATAGGCTGTTTCTATTGGTTTTATTTCAGAGACGTTATGTTGGACGAAAGTTTAAAATATATAACCGTAAGCTAGGCCATATCCGGAAGGTCCAGAGGATGACCAGACATGATCAAAACTGATCAAACTGGGCTCCCGGAGGTCCTGCTTGCCTGTACAGCCAGCCCCACATCAGATAATTACCAAAAAATTCACAGGAGAACTAATTGTTGAGCTTTATAAAAACATGAAGCAAATTTCCGTAAACTAACGCCCACTGGCCAACACTGGTCACTTGAAAATGCCATGTCGGTTATGACACGGTTGGGCACGGTACTATTTTATTAATAAGCGTCAAAAATTCATATTAATTGACAGAAGCGTCGTATAAGACACATTAAACAATCAAAATAAAGCTAAAAATAAGCTGTATTAACTGAATTGTACATAGTGGTCATTGAGTGACCACTGGTCAGCAGCGACCGGAAATCCGAAAAACGTAGTTTTGACTAAACGCAATTAAAATTAATGCGAAGAAAATGCAAACAAATTGTGTAATGACTGCTCTAAGTAGCTCTGAAACTGCTATGATCCATACTACCCTGAACAATCCGAATTCAAAAGATTCTGCAGTGCAGCTGCTTGTTTGTGTAACGCTGTTATTGCCGTTCACTGGATAGTGATGGTAGCTCGGTCACTCACTCATCTAGCAATTTTGTTCACTGGATTTTGTTTCCTTCGAAACTTGGGCTGATTCTAACATGGTTCGGAAATCAGATTTTTCTTTTTAGGCATTTGAACATTGTGATTTACAGCAATCCTGCTATTAAGATTCAGCATGTTTGCAAAAAAAAATAATAAAATAATAAATAATAATTTAAAATAATTAAATTTAAATTCATTCGATTGTTATTGTTGAGCGAAGCTCGCTTTGTACACATTCAAAATAAATTAAATTTATTACAGTACTTACTTAATACTTTAGCAAATTTTCTAAGCAACTGGCACTGTTATTATGCTCAAGGTCACCTTGTGAGCTTTACCAAAGCCAGTTTTGCCGGAACCGGCATCCGTGGGGCGGGTTCAAATAATTTTTTCAGAAATAAAATGCATGTGACACAGTTTCTGAACATGCTGAATCTAATGGCGTTTACCGTTTTTTTGATTATTTTCTAGTTTTCCCGATCTCGATGTCTCAGCTTTTTTTGTACTTATATTATGAAACCATACAGCTTGCGCAACGCCGATCAAGTGACCATCAAGACCAGAGTAGCAACGAAGTGTGGGGAGACAACGCTATCCTGGAGACTGGGAAAACTTCTGGATAAAGTTCAGGATTACGGCAGTGATATTTTTGGTTTACCTACGCTTGGCTGTTTTAAGAGCGCTCTGTACGCAATTAATTTCTGTTAATTCGTTTTCGATCAATCGCTTTTTTGGTGTACTGTTTTTGGTATCGTCTTTTTTGTATAGTGTCTCTCTCATTGATGTCCTTTTCCCTTTCATTTATGATACTCTATTTAGCGATTCTCCAGCCAGGTTTAAAATCCCATGCTAGATGTCATCCTAGCCGGATATGGGCTACCTGCACTGACTCAAATTAAATTAAATTTAAATTATGGATCTTGTTCCTTGATTATTGTTCCTTGATAGAGATTATATAGAGATACTAAGAGATACTCGTATCTCGGCCTTGCCCCCCGATCTACTGTAGTCCTATAATTGTGACGTTGCGAAGCGCGCTTCTGGTGGCATTGCTTGTCGCTCGTCGCTTTTATCCAGTCTGCGCTCTATCTATCAGAGATAGAGCGCAGACTGGATAAAAGCGACGAGCGACAAGCAACTGCCACCAGAAGCGCGTTTGCGCAACGTCACAATTAATATGTAGCGTTCTTTTTTTAGTGGTGTTCCCACAATACTAAATAGCTGCTGGCATAATTATTTTAGGTTCGTCAGGTATGATAAAGTACAATAAAATTTGTTCTTCATGGTACTGAATTAAATCCGGCAAGTTTTTTTTTCAAGAAAGCGTCAGTAATTGAGAACAGACTTTATGGAAAATTGCTACGAGTAGTGAAGAAACAAGGTTTTCTTGGTTAGTCCTATACAAGTGTCGCTTTACCCACCCCGACTCGGTCAAGCAATCAACTGATGGATGCCTGCGGGATTCGACTCCGAGCACTTTTACGTACACCAAATGGCAAAATTGGAGAAAAAAGAAAAAACATGTATTTGTGACCAAGACACCCCCGTGTTAGGGCCTACGATTTTTCTCGAAAATAAATAGCTCTGTAGTCTGGAATATCCACTCATGTAGGTCCCGGTGCGGACGGAAGAAGCACTGCACATATCCGCCATCCGTCAGTGCGACGCTTTCAAATGTCAGTGTGCGGCGCTGCAGCATTCCTGGACTATTGGGGGGCTGCATGCGTACGGCGCCCCGTGGGCGGTCGGCTTGTGCCAGGCCTTTGGTGGGCAGGAGCCGCCCGTACGGTGCCTCCGCCGGACCGTAGACTAGCCGGCCGTTGTGACGCCACATCAAGTGGTTGTGCAGATTCATGAGAATAGCTTCCGGCAAGGGCAGTCGGATCCTACAAGGGATAACAACGTGATCGCCCTCCGTGGCGGTCATGTACGGCCCGTCGTGCAAGGCAAAGACGTCGCTATGACGCGTGATCAGCGGCAACAGCATATATCTCTGGAGAACGCGCCGCTGGGCGGTGTAACTGCTGGCCGGCGCGGTGATGCACTGCACGGAGCCGCCGGAGCGCATGGTGACGTTCAGGACGATGAGAACGAGGATGTCGTCAGAGCGAGTGAAGTTGTAGGCCTGTCCCGAGACGTCCTCCACCGGCAGCGGTCGGCCGGCTTCGTAGACGGTGCGGTCCTGGTGAAGCCAGGCTACGGCGCGCCAGTCACTGCCAGCTGGCACATCGCATCGGAACGTGGCATCTTCCCCTAGTCGTGGTCGGTATACCATGCTATTCGTCACGGCGTCGCTTGGAGCCAGCTGCGTCAATATGACGCGGTCGTCCTGTCGGTTGTTCAGCATCGCCTCCTCCAGCAGGTCGTTCACTATTAAGTCAACCAGTTACTTCCAGGTTGCATCGAGATTCGAGCATTATGTTCGTGACAGTTTCGGAGCGTCAGTACTCAGCAACAAAAATTTTAAGGGAAGTGACTCGATACATAATTATGTATCGAGTCAACGAATTTTGTGTTATAACGCAAAAATTCGTTTTCATCCACAGGAACTATCGCTGTCGCACACTTCCAAACAGTTTACGGACTGCTTTATAACATTTTGTAGACAAACGACATACCGGGTATGCGTGAACTCCACACAATCAGAAATTTGTACACATAAGCGTGAAATCCGCTTGTGTGCGCAACATCTGGTTGCAAAGTTATGAAGGTACTGTGAGTAACAAAATTCCAATAAGTTTAAATGTATTCCTTGTCAGGTATACCAAAGTTCCCTTTATAGACCAATGTTCTTCAAATTTTGCACCTAAACGCACGTAACTGTAACGATCGTTTTCACACCGAAGTTCGAACCAATGTGCTAGCATTATATTGTTATCAAATTTTGAAATAAATTTCAGAAAATTCAAGATGTAATTTAATCTGAATATTAAAATTTAATTTTAAATTCAAATTTTAAGATTTAATTTGAAATTTAACAAATGAATCGGATCGGTTTTAAACTTTGGATTGATTCAAAAATGATTTTCATAGTTATCTGCATTTACTTACAAACTTTGAAGAGCATCGGTCCATAGTGGGACGTTTGATAGTTGGTACACCACTACACTACAGAGTACACTTAATACGCTTAACTTTTTGGACTTGATCACCTTAATTTGGCTAAAACCTCTTATAAAGGAATGCAGAAAACTGTTTGAAAGTGCGCAAAAGCGGAAGTATCCGTGGATGTAAATGAATTCTGCACTTTGTGCCGGGTCACTCCTTACGGTTAACAGCGAGAAAATAGCTTTGTTGGAAATTTCAGTTTATAATGCAGTACTAATATCATTTTTGAGAAAATACATGAGGTGCTGTAGATAATCCGTTAATGGCAAATTGACAATTACTTCTTGTGCGCTAAATTACCGTATCCAGATTATCCAGATTCAGATCTGCATTGCCCCGAATGAGATACACCAGAGCCACCAAACCAGAGAAGACAGACCAAAACCGATACTAGATTCTGAAAGCCCATAGTCGAAAACCCGGCCAGCACCTGTGGCACGTTTCGTACCAAAGAAAAAAAGTGGATCGTTTCGCTCCTTGTAGTCCCAGTAGACATCCGTATACATTCTGTAGACACCCTGTAGACCTATCGGTAGTCACCTGGTTTCTTAGGATGTATACAGCGTGTCTACAACGGTGTCTACGGATGTCTACCGCTGTATACAGTCAGCCCTTCTTAGGTTCAGCTCGATACTCTGCCTGTATACACCGGTAGTCACCTGAAGACAGCCCGTAGATACCACTGTTGACTGTAGACATACTGTAGTCACCTGGTTTCTTAGGTTTTCTTAGGATGTATGTATATAGACTGTCTATTGTACAGGATGTCTATGTACAGGTTGTCTACAGATGACTACAGTGACTACAAGAAGGAAAAAACGTTCCAGTTTTTTTCTTTGTTACGAAACGTTCCATATATATGGCCACGTTTACCAACTAAAGAATATTTGCCGAGCGTAGCGAGGCTTTCTAATTTCGAGTTCTGACCGAAAACAGCAAGGATTCGGGACGCGGCAGGGGATAGGGAAAATTAATAAAATGCGACATTGGCTAACCATGTCTTTATGATCAGCCGGTTGGTGCAAGCCAAGTTTATTTTTAAACCCAATAGCCCCCGAAGGCGGAGCCGCAGGCGACGCCGAGCTGCGGCGCGGACGGAGCCCGCGAAGCAGCAAGTGAAACAACTGCATGAAAGTTGTTTTAATAATTGAATCATCAACTTTTGTTCTTATTGTAGTCAGGAAGTTTGTAAGGCCGCCCGGCTTGTATCTCTGCTTTCGATCAACAGTTTGCTTAAAAAAATACACTCACGAGCAGTACTCTAATAGAAATCTTCAGATTTTCACAAAACAATTATGAAAGTAAAGAAACAGCAACTGCCTGATAAGACTGCGTTAAAAATTTATTGCACTTTGCCATGTTTGATTTTTAGAGGGCATGCCACCCCACCCAAATTCACACAATGTTTAATAGCGAAAGATTAACTTTCAATCCTATAGGCAGCTAGATTTTAAGGGTTATAAGTACGTAAAAACCCAAAAACTGGGATGGCGAAACGGGAATAGAGGAAACTAAGTAGGGGATTCGAACATAGCACTGTTTTGGATGTTAATTACTATATTCGAAGAAATGTAAAAGTTATTCGAAGAGGATTCCATATTAAGTAAAATGAATAGGTAAACGGGAGACGGAGCTACCGGTACTGTCCAGTATACGGGGCCCGCTAGCCGAGCGGGTGACCAAGCCACCAAGTCAACGACAATATCCAGTGTACGGGGCCGTTAGCTGAACAGGTGACCGAGCTACCGACACTGTCCAGTGTATAAGCCCGTTAGGTAACGAGTGACCGAACTGGCACTGTCCAGTGTCCAGGGCCCGTTAAGGGATTTGGCCCGGTACATAACACCAAATTCATGTATGGAACTTTTGTAGGCACGTATGTATTTTGTAGAAATCCGTTTGCGCGCGCATCATCCGGTTGCGGAGCTATGAGGGTAACAAAATTCCAAAAAGTTTAAATGCATTCAGGTGTACCAAAAGTCTCATTATGGACCGATCCCTTTCAAATTTTGCACGTAAATGCACATAACCATGAAGACTGTTTTGGTACGGATCCAGACTTCTACGATTTTTTTCGAATTGTAAATGGAATTTTAAAATTTTTGATATTCATTTTAAAATTGAAAAAAAATCATGAAAGTCTGGATCCGTACCAAAATAGTCTTCATGGTTATGTGCATTTACTGCAAAATTTGAAAGGGATCGGTCCATAATAATGAGACTTTTGGTACACCTGAATGCATTTAAACTTTTTGGAATTTTGTTACCCTCATAATTCCGCAACCGGATGTTGCGCGCGCAAACGGATTTCACAACTACGTATACAATTCTTTTGGCTACAAAATACCATAAAGCAATGCAAAAACGTGTTCGGGAGTGCGCGACATCGAAAGTTCCCGTGGATGTACATGAATTTGGTTCTATGTACTGGGCCAAATCCCTTAAGTGAGCGGCGGGCCGAGACACCGGTACTGACCAGTACACGGGCGCCCGTTAGGTAAACGAGGGACCGAGCTACCGGTAATTTCGAGCGCACAGAGCCCGCTAGATGAACGAGTAACCGAGCTGTCGGTACTCGGTACTCTTCAGTGCACATAGCCCGTTAGGTGAACAGGTGACCGAGCTCCCGTTACTGTCCAACAAGTTACCGTGGATCACAAGAAACGCGGAGGCGAAGCCGAGGCTGTTTCTTGTAGATCTTTATTACCACAAAAAATAGAAAGGGATACACCAACCCAGCTTTCCTGTACAGAAATCAGCAAAATCCACTGTGATAATCCGAAAGCCCCTTTTTCTAAAATTTCTAAAACCCGGCCAGACGGTCTTGTAATCCGAAAGCCCCTTTTTCTAAAATTTCTAAAACCCGGCCAGACGGTCTTGGTTTTTCTAAAAACTCCTTCGAACAGAGCAAATAAATCACTCGGCAAACCTCAACCACCTAAGTATCTTCAATTCTCCATACGAGTACTTTAGTAAGTACATCAGCACTTGGCTGGAATTTAAATTAAATTAATTAACTGTTGCTATGTTCGTAACTGAAGATTTAAATTCTCTGTATCATAATTGCGTAAGCCGTAAACTTTACTGAGTTCGCCAGCTCGATGCACTGAATCAAGCTGCAATGACTATATACCATTCGATAGCCCTGAAGGTGTGGATTACCCATCAGTATCACAAATCAGTTTTTAGAATAGAAGATAGATTTGAAAGAAAACTTTCAAAAGCTTTTACATATCAGCCTATGGGAAAAGCTAAGAACCCACCACTGCTAAGCCGACCACCCCACCACTGTCTTAACAGCCAGGCTGGCTGAGCAACAAGCTTTGACAATATTTCGTTCCAATTAAATTAACGTTCGATGACAGATTATTCCGTCCAGTGACGGAATATTTCTCATCAAAATTTAGTTCTGAGAAAGAAAATAAAACTGGACAAATGGCCGAGAAGATTCTGCGACTGGGGGACGCAGTGGTCCAGTTTCTTTATACTGTAAACTGTAAAGTGCCTTCAAGAAAACAAAAAAGTAACGGATTTCGAAAATCGGCTTTCGCTAATCGCAGGCAGTTCAGCTAGAAATGCAGTCACGCCCGCCGTTTCTGTAGAAATGGTATCCGAGAAAGGCAAGTGAGACAACTTAGCGTCTTATGTATTTGCTTCTGTGAGCGATGGATCACTGACGTGCACTTTCGCAACGCTACGCCAACGGATTACTGCCTGTGACGTGTCTCGCTTTTCATTGTTTGACGGCTAAAGCCGTTCGTTGTTTGCGATCTCTCGCCATGTGCGTGGGCGGCGCCTAATGCGGATGCGAGCGCACTGAAAGTGGCTCTCCGATCAGTGTTGTTTAGTGTTGATTTGGCATTCATTAAAGTTAGCAATTAGCTACGCGACGTCGTGTGTTTATAAATAGTTGCCGACATCGAATAACAGTCAGGAAATCCGAGGAATCGCATTTTACTGATGATGAGACAACGATGAACATGTCCTTCCGAACTTCGATGAAGGACGCCGATCGGGCGGAAGGCAAGACATGGTTTCAGGATATACCTAAGCATCTGACTGAACGAACCCAAACAGGAAAGGTCATCAATGTACGATCACCGTCACCGAACAGTCCGACGTCAACTCTGAAGAGAAGTGTTAAAGATCTGGAAAACGACTTCGTTTTGATGATGTGGTGGTTTCCCGATAACCAGTTCACTCGTCACTTTCACTGCACCGTTCTGCAGTGGTTGCCTTTCCGTTCCTCCTTTATCCGGTGG